TATATATATAAAGTATTTTAAACTCCAGGAAATTATACCAATTGCATGATTGCTGTGATTTGCCGACAAGGTGGTCAAGATCATGCCTATATTATCTTCAACACTTAGCCATGGATTTTTCGATACTAACATGCCCAAAATGTCCTTTAAGGAACATGACAAGAAAACAGAATAGTCCAAATCTTCAGGTATTGTGGAGATGTACATAGTATATTTTAGAGAGGTTGTAAAGCAGATAAGTGTGTTCTCAGTAAGTCATGGAGAATTTTCATACCTCACTACAACTGTAGGAAAGAGAACAGAGAGACGTAGGAGTCTCTTTCTTTGCTATACGATGTTAAAGAATTCCCTGTACTTGAGTTACTCTTGCTGATTGTACAAGCTCTACTGTGCACAATCTGCATATAAAAAGGAACTATTATATCTACTTTGCACCTTAATCTCTAAAATTGTGTTGAATTTTTGCTTGGAAAATTCATGCACCCATGAAAAATTGTATTTTAAACTTCAGAACAAAAAAAAGAAAAACTTCAGTTATTCTTGGGAAAATCTCAGACTTCTGTTTCTTTAATTATGCTCAAATATGTAAAATTTTATATATTTGAAACTTGGAAGTATATATGAAATCCCAATGGGAAGGATTTATAATCTGACGTTTATAATTCGTATGTATCTGATGTGGTGCTGCCTCTTTAAAAATTGTTTAACTTCAGGAACTCCAAATATAATTGTTACACCGGATTTTTATATTCCATATCATCAAAACAGACAAAAGAAAAGACGCTTACATATTTTTAAGCACTCATGTTTTTTTTTTTTTTAAAAATTGAAATTCACTGGCAAAAAAATAAAATGATTTCCTCCTATAGGTTTTATCCACTTCTACTGGCTTGACAAAAACTGTGTACAACCCTGCTGCTTTGAAGGCAGCACAGAAATCTTTGCCTGTTGTTTCCACTTCCGTGCTAGACTCTAATGAAGCACAGAAGAAAAAACAGGTAAATTAAATATGCTTCTTTATAAAATGGACCTAGAGTGGGAACTTGTGACCACTAGAGATAGTGCACTATGTATATTCGTCTCAAGAGCATAGATGAAACTAATTATAAGATTAAATGCACTATAATGGTTTCTTTTCAAAGAACAAGAAAATTCAGCGTTGTTTTGTTATTTTTTTTCAGTGTATGTTCAGGCAGTGTAAGCAGATTTAAAACTCTCTAGGAGTTCAAAATGTGAAACACTTTTTCCTGGAAGCAGATTCTCCATGTTGACGCATGAATTGTCTGTTGTGAGTGAGAAGGGAGTACAGTATAGTCACTACTCTTCTCTATTAAGCCTTTCTGGAACTGGCCTTTATTGTCGTCAAACTGGCCTTTATTCTCAATGTATTTTGTACTTGTGACCAAAATTGTTTATTTACTTGAGAGAACTGAGAACTGTATGACCCTGCATTTTGTTGTTTCCAAACTGTAGTTCTCCTACATCCATTTTTATTTTTTGTGTAGTACTAGGTTTTCTCTTTTTTTTTTTTTTTTTTTTTTTTGGGATGTTAGAGATGAAATGCAACAAAAATGAATTTAGCCTTGAATAAGTCACTCAGCTGTAGTTTAACTTGCTTAGAATTTTCAAAAGAGTCCAGTAAAGCTCCTGTCTCAGGTTTATCCTTATCATTTAGAAAAACTAAATATAGGCCAATGTTTATCTTACTGGCTTCAAACCACAAATTAAGAGTTCAATACTAAGTTAGATTGAAACAGAAGTATTGAAAGCAATGTAATCGTTAAAGAAAGATTTTAGCCTATTGGTAAACTTCTGTAACTAATGTCTAATATAATTTGAAATAGCAGTTTGTAGCTGCATGTCAGCTGTGACATTGGTCCAGACTTGAAAGAATTCACTTCTGATTTTGGGATTTCATTTCATATTTGTCCCCTAAAACATGTTTTTCAGAACTAGAGCCTTTACCTTTCAAGATGCTAAGTGCCTGTGAAATGGCAAAAAGCTTGTAATAAAATTATTGCCTCATCATAACAACTGTAGGGTTTGTTTTTTTTTTTAAGATACTGAAGTCATGCTAAGTGATTGGATCTTTTTTCATGTGCTGTTGTGCTCCTTCCTCTCTTCAGAGATTTCTGTCAGAATATACTAGTACTTGTGAAAAAACATGATTTTGTGGGACTCACTCCCTTCTTTCTTCCTGTCTCCCTAGGTTTTCTTGGTATTCATCCCCTTGTCTTATCTTCCCTTTCCCTTCAGAAAAATGATGGCACACTGTATTGCAAAACTAACATTTCATGCAGCAGAATTTGGCAGTATTTGGGAAGACGTACAGAAACCTTACTCCTATTTCTTTTTTATGGCTACTGTGCATTTACACTCTTTGTATAAGATAATCCACTTGCAGTCTGATCCCAGTTGGTTGGTGATCTTGAGGTGCAAAATCATCTACCTCTTGTCTTTTATCTCATTAAATACGTTGATATCAAAGCTCTTAATTGTTTTCTGCAAGTATCCTACTGTCTGAGACTTTTACATTCTGTATCTGAGAGCAAGAAGCAGTTGCTTTCTCTCAAGCAGCATTAGTAGGAGCTGAGCACAGCAGCTGTGGCATCTCCCCCTGCTTCTCCTTCTGAGTGCAGTGCATCACAAATTTATCAGTTTCAATTCATTTTCATTTGCCCATTACAACATCAGCGTTTTATTTTTAGCAGATTGAGTGGTAGTACTTGTCGCTTCCAAGTTACAGCAGTCAGACACAAAAGAGACGGTTTTCTTTGAGTAACCCTTTAATTTTAGAAAATAGAATGTGTTTTCTTTTTTTCTTGTAACAGTACTGGAGAATGTGTTTTAATTGATGAACTTGATTTACAGTTGCTTTCAAGATACTGTCCTTGGACATTTAAACTCCTGTATGTTATTTCTCTTGTGGTAGTGTACTATATTACCTTCCAGCTTTCAGTGGAGTTGTGTAAGGGGTTACTTTGTACGTAAGTAATAATGAAGTCTTCCCAGCACAGATCTAACTAAGAAAGGTCATGAGAGCCTTCACTAATGTGGTGATGCATTGTTTTCCAAAACATAATTTGAAATATTACCTATTAGTACCTTGAGTTTCTGTTACTAGTCTTTTTCCTGTTATTGTAAATTACTACTGTATAGTTGTTAGGTATAGTATATTATTCTTCTAGCATTATTTTTTCAAAATCTAGAAACTTTCTGTAATTTTTTTGTGCTTCTAGGAAGCATTACGACTTCAACAAGATGTGAGAAAAAAGAAGCAAGAGATCTTAGAGAAGCACATTGAAACACAAAAGGTAAAATGTTATCATTAAAGAAAGTCAGCAATTCAGGTGTAAAATCTCAGTTGACTTTAAAATATGTCACAATTTGTAAGGGTGAACTACGAAACTGGCCTATAAAGTAAGTGTTCTCTTAGAGTGGTATTATCACATTATTTTAAGTTTAGAGTTTTAATCTAACTTTTTAGTTCACTTAAAAAACTACAAGCTTGTGCAATTTAGGTGCAATTTTAGTTGAAATTGTCTAATTTGGGTGCAACACACATATGTTTTTTTGGGAGAAGTGAAAGCCTGGGAGTTCTACTTGACAAAGAACAGGAGAGACTGATGTAGAAAAGTATGTATGACTGTACTAAGGCTTAGGAGGAGAAAAAGGCCAAGAAGTCATTCAAGTTGAATAAAAATTTTGAAATAATTTAAGTATGTAGAGCAAATTTGTCTAAATGAAATGGAGCTGTGAGATATTCATTAGCAAATTAATTAATCAGAGATTCAGACAAAGATTTTAATATAAGCTGTTAAAAGCCCTATGTGTTGAGTTTGAAGATCACAGCAAAAGAAAGGTAGTATTCTGTTTTTCCATTAGTTGTAATGAGTACTGGAAAACAGTAATGATTAGAAATGTAACATAATAATATGGAAAACTGTAATAATAATTGTTAAGTAAACAGATTTTTTTCTTTTTTTTTTATTTGGACAGATGCTGATTTCAAAGTTGGAGAAGAATAAAGCCATGAAGTCAGAAGATAAAGCAGAAATCATGAAAACACTGGAAATTTTGACTAATAGCATTACCAAGTTAAAGGATGAATTAAAAGGTGTATCACCAGCAGGAGGGGCTCCTTTAAAAAGCATGAAAACTAAGACTCAGGTACTCAAGTTTTGGTCAGCTTTTTAATCAGATGAATTCATACACATGTCAGCAGAATAAAAATATGCAGCCACATCAGCAGTGTTTAGAACCATACTGGTTTAATTTTGAAATTGTCTTTGAAGAGAGATTGGTTTTGCCTTCTTTTTAAAGGAACATAGTTCATTTTAAACCCATGCTGTTGTCTAAAAGGTTTACACACTGTTACACAGGTATTGCATCATCTGGAAAATCAAAAAAACAAAACAAAAGTCTTACGATTATTTCTTCTGCCTTATCGGATTTTGTGTATGGTCTATTGCTTTCTTAAATTTTGAGTAGAAATCATGAAGACAATATTTCTTATGCAAAAGGATTATCATTATGAAACACAGATATCTTCTGGTCAGGTTTAATACACAAACTGCTTCATGAAACTAGTTGACGAATGCACTGGTACATAATTTTCTGGGTCTTTTTATGTCACTGGAATTTTTCGGTATATTAAGCTTTTTAGACTGAAGGTTATGCTGGTCAGTTTTCTTTTGTTCTAGCTAGCCATGTTTGGGTTGTACCTATGAGTGGAGTTTCTCTCCTCTGCTATCATTCTTGTTAGTATATGGCTATAATCAGCTTCCCAGCTGCTTAAAGATGCAATTATATTGCCTTTTTAAAATGCAGTATTTTTGCTTTGTGTAGAAATATTTGTTCCTAAACAGGTCACAAGGTGATTAAGAACTAAGCGAGACTTTGAGAAATAACGTTTGAAGAAATTAATAAGTGTTCTTTTAAATGTATTACAAACTTTTCTTGGTTTATCAAGCGAGGAAGTGCATACTAATAAAAGAGCAGATTTGTGCACAGTGTATTTTACAGTAAAGACAAAAAGTCTTTATTTTTTTTCTTGCTGTTTTTATTCAGTTCTTAAATCTTCAGAATGCTTAGTCTTCTCTTCTAATGTTTGGGATTCTGCTTTAGAAAGCTGGTGTAATGTTACAACACAGATTTAATTTAAATGGATCATTAGTTTTCAGTTTCAAACAGCATTTCTGCTGCTTTGTTTTACATAGAAATACAGGCATTAAAAATAACTGCAGTGTAAATTACAATGATGTATAGTTTTGAAAAGAAATATCAAAAAGAAATACTGAAATGACCTGTATGTACTCACTAGCTTCTTACATCGTTCATCAGTCAGGAAAATGTTGAAGCAGCCTATTTTTATCCTGAAAATGGGTGTAGTTTATAATTTCTGGAAGTCAGTTTATACCTCTTAAAACAACTGCAGTTGCAGTGGAATATTCTACTGTGTTTTAGAGGGGGAACTAAGGGTAGTAATCCCAGAATTCAGACACTGCGATAGTAAGATGAAACTCTTCTTTTTTTTGGAGATGAGAGAAGTTGAGGTTTCTTTAGTATTTTTATGTTTTTGAGAAAGCGTGGATGTTGTATGGTGAGAAAAAGTTTCTGAGAGATCTGAAGGAAGTTAACCTGCCTGTAGAGTGAATTTGAACTATAAAAGTCCTAGAAATTGACAGTGTTTTTAAAGCTGCATTTTACTGTTAAAGTCTCATGTTTTTGTGAAACACTCTTCTGCTGATAGTGTACAGTGCTTCGTAAATTTGAACAGGAAAAAATAGTTTATATCAGTTTTGATCCAAGAATAACAGTTGGTTGTGGATTTTGTCACATGCAAGGAAGTGAATCCAGACCCATAGAAATGAAGAAGCAAGTTGCATCATGAAAACATGGCAAATTCTTGAGTAGTAAACTTAAATGCTTGTTATTTTATCCTGAGAGTGGTCCAGTAAATTCTTGGAGTGCACAAGAAGATTGCCCAGTAACATCAAATTGCTCAAAATGATTGAGATTGGAAGGGATCTCTGGGGATTGTCTTGTTCCATCACGAGGCACCACTAGGAAGAGTCTGGATGTTGTATGGATGATATTGCCCCCTGCCACCTTTTCTTCCTGAAGTTAAACAATCCCAGCTCTGTGAGTTTCTGCTCATATAGTAGGTGCTTCAAACCCTTAAATCGTCTTTGTGGCCTTTGGCTGGACTCTCTCCAGTGTGTGTCTCTTGCACTTCAGAGCCTGGAATTGGATACAGCACTCCGTATGTGGCCTCACCACTGTAGAGGAGAAGGATCACCTCCCTTGATCTGTTGGCAGTGCTCTTCCTAATGCAGCCTACGAGGCTGTCAGCCTGCTTTGCCATAAGGACACATTGCTGGTCCTTGTTCAACTTCTTTTCTTCTACCAGGACCCCTCAGGTCCTCTTCATCTGAGCAGCCCCCAACTTGTACTGGTGGCTGGGGTTATTCCTCCCCAGATACAGGACTTGGCATTTCCCTTTGTTGAAATGCAGGATGTTAGTCCTGCCTCATTTCTCCAGCATGTCAAGGTCCTTCTGAACGGAAACACAATTAGCTGGTGTACCAGCCACTCCTCCAAATTTTGTATTGTCCACAAACTTGCTGAGGGCACACCCTGTCTTACCATCCAGGTCACTGGTGAAGTTGTTAAACAGTAGGGGCTGCTGGGGTATGCCACTAGTGACTAGTCTCCAGCTGGACTTTCTGCTGCTGATCAGAACCCTTTGAACCCAGCAGTTCAGCTAGTTTTCAGTTTATCTCACTGTCTACCTATCTAGTCAGCACTTCATCCTTTTGGCTGTGAGGATGTTGTGGGCGACAGTATTGAAAACCTTACTGAAATCAAGATAAAACAACTTCCACTACTCTGCTGTTGTCCACCAAGCCAGTCATCTCATTGTAGATGGCTGTTAAGGTCAAACATGATTTCTCTT